TCCCTCCTTCTCCTAATGCAAATTCCTGATCTGTAACCCTGCCTCTTATTCATTCAGACTCAAGTGAATGCACTAGATTTTTTGTTCTTTAGAATGGAAGCATCGTAACTGCTTGGGGACTGCTAAGCAGGTAGGGATAACTAGCTGAACCACATTTCCCTAGCATCTTCCTTGGGTAAATTACTTTCTGCACGGAAAGAAGATTTTTAAGGATGGGCAGCTCTAGTCAGGAGATTCTTTTTCATTGGATTTGAACAGGTGCAACATTTCAAGCAAACAGACCTGTTATCAGATGTCAAAGTGAGTAATTACACTTTGTCATGACTTAGCTCTCTGTCAGCTTAATATGAGACAGTGTGTGAATTGTGCTGTATCAAGTCATGCTTAACATGTTGATAAGCCAAAGATTAAGAACACACAAAAAAAAGGTTTGTTTTTACCTTGTTAACCTTTTCTTATTTATTTAAATGATTGGCTGCTGTTTTCATTTTGGCTTCATTCTGTCATGATGTGGCCAATCTGCTTTACCACTAATAGTATTCAGTATAAATCAGGCTTTGTCTCTTTCAAAGATGTGATATAAATAGTTAGTCCTTTTAGCATACAACTCTACTGCATGAAACAAACTAGAGCTGTGTTCTTCTCAAGAGTTTTGAGGATATTTTTAGAGACAGATAAAAACAGAGGAAATAACATGGTCTATTAATTTAGTATGGTATTCACTATGGTTGTTATGGTCTCTCTCTTTTTCCCTAAGCCTCGCAAATAGAACCTCATTTCACTTGTATATTGTCAGACTGCTTAAACAAGAATCATTGTGATTGTTTTTTAATAAACTGATAGATAAAATATATATAATTTCATACCATTTTAGCATGTATTCTCTGGTGATTTTGGCAGGTAGCTGGAGGCTGTAAATATTCCATGTAAACACATGCATGCCTGATCTTCCATTTAGGGTATTGTACATCATGGTCTGGTGGATTGAGTTTGGGAACTTGGGAGCAAACAATTCCTAAATACTAATCCCAACTCTGAGAGTGATTCTCAGAATGTTCTTGGGCAATCATTTATTCTTTCTCACTTTCCCCATTTGTAAATTGGAGGTTATGCTTACGTAACTTACAGGGATCTTTGTCTGAAACCTAATTAGCTATAGTTTGTCCATTACTTTGGAAATACAAAGTTCTGCACTTTAAAAGGTTTGGATAATTTTAAACAGTGGTTTTCACAGGCAAAGCCACTTGTTTTTTAAATGTGGAACTTCTCCCAGAGGCTATAGGGAGGCCCACTTTGGAAGGGCGAAAAATTGTTTGGTAACAAATGGAGTTTTAAAAATAATAGTATTACCTTAGAGCAAAGGGACCCTTTTCTCTCTAGAACTGCTGTTAAATAATCAAGCAAAACTGTTGAAAGCACTAATGTCTAGAACAGGGGTGGGCAAGAGGTGGCTAGTGGGCCCACCAATCTGCCAGATCCGTCTTGCAGCCACCTCCCAACATCCTTACTACAGAGTGGGGCAGCTGCTTTAAACATCAGGCTATTAATTGCTCTGCAAGATGTGCAGGGAGGAGAAAGCTTTGTGTGCTGTCCCCGCCCCCTAGCAAAATCCCCAAGCTCCCATTGGCCAGTTTTCAGCCAATAGGAGCTGAGAAATCTTGCTGAAGGCAGGGGCAGCAAATGAAGCCTCCTCACTCCCTCCCTCATAAGAACATAAGAATGAGCATAGGGCTTATTTAGACTATGTGGAACAGTTGAAAGGGGATATGCAAATTCTGTGGGAATTTGCATATCTTCTGATTGAGTAGTTTGGACGCGGCTTTTTTGGCGAACCTCCCTTTTTCGAAAAGCCGCGTAAACCTTATTTTTTGAGGAAAAGTGTCTTTTTGAAAAAGGGGGGGGGGGGGATTCGCTGAAAAAGCCACGTCTAATTTACTTTCGCTTTCGAAAGTGCGATCTTTTGCGTAGTAGATAAGCTCATATTGGGTCAGACCAAAGGTCCATCCAGTTAGTAGCCTATCTGCCAACAGTGGCCAATGCCAGGTGCCCCAGAGGGAGTGAACCGAACAGGTAATGATCAAGTGATCTCTCTTCTGCCATCCATCTCCACCCTCTGACAAACAGAGGCTAGGGACACCATTCCTTACTGATCCTGGCTAAAGCCATTAATGGACTTAACCTCCATGATTTTATCTAGCTCTCTTTTAAACCCTGTTATAGTCCTAGCCTTCACAACCTCCTCAGGCAAGGAGTTCCACAGGTTGACTGTGCACTGTGTGAAGAAGAACTTCCCTCCCTCCCTCACTGTGCTGAAGCAGAGCCATGTGGAGCAACCCACCCAGCACACAGGCACAGAGCCTGCAGAGTTGCTGGCTGGGAGCCCCCTAGGTAAGCGCCTCCCAGCCAGAGCCTGTCTCTCACACCCCAGCCCTTTATCCCCCCAACCACCTGCCCCAGGCCACCACCCAAACCTCTGTATCCCCTCTCTCAACCTCCTCCAGGTCTCAGTTCCCTCCCAAGCCCTGCATCCGCTTTTCCCCCCTTCTCCCAGGTCACAATTTCCTTCCAGACCCTGTACCCCCTTCCCCACCCCTCCCCCAATCCTCTCCTGCACCCCTAACTTCTCCCGGACTCTATACCACAAGTCCCTGCACCAGATCATAACCCCCTCCTGCACTCCAGTTTTCTATCCGAAGCTCCCTTCTACATCCCACCTTCTGTCCTAGACCCAGCACCCCCTCCACCAAAGTGCGGCTCTATATCCAAATCTTGGAGTGGCCGGCCGCCCATTAAAAATTATTGCCCACTCCTGGTCTAGAACAAATATAGGGAGTAGCCTTACAGGTAGAATTGTCTTATGATTACAGAAGAAGAACAGGAGTAAGGAGACCATCCTTTTGTTTCTGAATATGCTACTCATTTCCCTATTTGTAAAATGGAGAGAGTAATAATTACCTACCTTTGGTAAAATGCTTTGGGAATCTGGATAGAAGGTGCTACAATGTGTTGTTGAGATAAACAGGATGAACCTCAAGTTAACATACCGAGTCAAGTGCTTTGGAGAAAATCTAATGACTGAGCAGACTGAAATAGCAGTGTTTTTTTCTGAATACTATTTTGGCCAAGCACTAAGGCCCCGTTAGCTAAACAAGAAGCTAGATCACAAACAGCCTTGTTTTAACATTATACATGCACACTGTATGTACCGTTATCATATATGGTGAACGGTTGCTACCAAGTTTGATATACAACAAATAGGTTTGCTTTAGCAAACAGCTGGTAATAAACATTTTTTGGTGTTTCAGAGATGAACGGAATCAGTCTATCATTGTAAGTGGGGAATCTGGAGCAGGAAAGACGGTCTCTGCTAAGTATGCCATGAGATACTTTGCCACTGTTAGTGGTTCTGCCAGTGAAGCAAATGTTGAAGAGAAAGTACTGGCTTCTAACCCTATCATGGAGGTAAGAAAGCTGATGCATCATCTCATCCTATATGTTTACTTTCTGCTACTACTGTTGATAGCTACAACAAACACTTTAATGAACAGAAATACAAGTGATTTTTTTAAGGCATCAAAACACTGGATGAAGATAAAATTTACAAGGATTTGCGTAATCTCATTTCTTTTTTTCTCTGACCCAGAAAGGGCTCTCCAACTTGAGATGTCTTTTTCTCATTGTTCAGGTGGAGGTGGAGAGCAGAAATGATGTGACAAATTCACTATAAGAAAGTAGCTTGATAACTCTGATTTTTCACATGGCTAGCCAAATGAGTGTGGAGGAGGAAGTGGGGAGTGTAGATAAAATCCACAAAGGAGTTAATATCTATCTTTTCCCCCTCCTCACCCATAGGATCTCCATTGTGTTTACTGGAAAAAGTTTGGGTGTATGGTGTAAAAGTTCAGATTTATGGGATATAACCCTTGTTGGGAAGGCAGAGTGAAAAAAAATCTACTTACACGTGCATGAAACACTGATTCTCATGCTAATAAAATATTTATAATAGAAAATAATTCACTTTGCTGTGTTTGATCTTGTTATAATGTTGAGGAGAATTCCCTTCCTTGAACCAGTGCCCTGCTAACTAACTTGCAGTGGACTTCAACCCTTTGTTCTTCTTGCCCAGAAGCAAGAGTGCTGACAATATATTGTAAAAGAAACATGTAATTTCCCTATTGCTGCAGGATAAGTGTTCTACAAACAGATGTGAGGACAACTGAAAAATCAAGATCTCATGATTTAGCAGTAGTTCTTAATAATTGTCCTCATCTGTGTTCCCACTTAGCTGTATTTCTCATTTTGCCAGCAAAATTGTCCTGTACTTTCAGATTGTATCTTAAGTATTGGTCAGTAAAGGAACTACAGTGAAACATGGGGAGAAACAAATATTGGAGGACTTCCTTAAAAGAAATAACTCTGCAGAAAATAAGTGTACATAAGCTGTTTGTCTTGAAAAAGTGGAACTCCATGCTTGGAGCACTTGATCACTCAGTTGATACTTCATATCCATGTTACATCGAGGGAAGATATTTCAGGGTGATATGCTTTTCACAGGCACACAGTTAAAATATGTGAAATTACATAAACATTAACTCTTGATGCAAATGATGCCACCTTTTTCTTTTTCCAGTATTTTTAAAAATAAACTTGTTTTATTCCTTCTTTCCTCCTTGCTTAAGCACTTCTTGACACCCCAAAAGCACAGATGGCGCTATAGCTGCCCTAGCACAACTGTGGCACATGTGGTTTTGATGTGTTCTCTCATAAGGTAATTCTGCCTGGTTTGCGGTGCTGTGTGGCATTTCAAAGCAAAATCCGGTGGCTCAGTAACCCTGGGGATGCCAGCTACACTCTGTTCCAATTGATCTCTGCTCTTATAATGACTTAAAGAACATAAATTTGCTCAGGGAGTTTTAAAATCTGCCTTGGCTGAGTCACTCACTGAGAGAGAAATGGAAATGCATTTTGAAATAGAACAGAAAAGAATTAGCCCAGGTTTAATCATTCATAGGGAGTGAGAAGAATTTTAACCAGTTTCATGACTCAGGTGCATGTGTGTTTTTGTACTATATTGACAACTTTACTTCAAAGGGTTGAATTATAACACAAGCCAGGCTCTAAGCCACTAGTGTTTGGGGTTTTATGGGTCTGAGCGAGTAGTACATATGGGAAGAGCGCAAACCACAAAGAGGAGTAAAAAAATGGAAGCAGAGGTGAAAGAACTCTCATGGTCAGGGCTGGCCTTACCATGACGTGAACTGAGGTGGCCGCCTCAGGTGCCAGACTGAGGGGGGAGAGCACCGCTAGGACCCTGAGTGTAGAAAATTGTGTCTGCTGCTGGTGCATATGTATTCTCTAAATGCACAGAGATGGTGGAGTGCCATGAGAGGAGTAGAAGAGGAAGAAGGCAGAATTGAGATCTTTCAAAGTTTTGGCCCAAGCGAGGGGACGTGGGGGCATCATTTGAGCTCCCCACCTCAGATATCAAAATGTTGTGGGCCAGCCCTGCTCATGGTATTCGCTATGTACCAGCGCTCTGCACAATTTAGACTAAAATATGAAGAAATTACTAATCAGTCACCTGAGTTATTTTGCTGCTTTACTTGGGCTAAAATCTTAAATGAAGAAATCTCCCTTTGAAAAAATAAAATTAAACGCAGTCAAACTGACCACTAATTAAGTGTGCAATTTTAATTTCCAAGGCAAGGACATTTAAAGTGAAGACTAAAGATTGTGACTCTCCATCTTTAACTATACAAATTCCAGTGCTATGCTTTTGACTTTCTAAACTGTAAAGGATAGCATCAAACCTCCATAGATTAAATTGTGACTTCCTTTTAAAACTATGACAGTTGGGTCAAGGACGTCCTCTAGATTCTACGCACCTTTTGAGTTTTTAAATCCATTATGCCATTGCTGGGATTTTCTTTGTTTTTATAAATCTGCAGTTTCATTTAAGTAGGATCTAGAATAGCCAAAATAGCATTTTGAACGGGGGAAAATATTCCTAATTGTTTGGTTAATTTGAAACAGGAAGAAGTCAGCAATTGCCAAATGAAAAGGTACAAAATCGTAACGGGAATGCTATGCTATTTTTGTGTTTTTAAACTTGCATCCTAAGCAGTGGAGCTTTGGCAACTATATAATTATTCATGGCACAGTACTTCTGACACTGACCTAGTTTATTTTTATTTACTAAGTACTCCATAATGGCTACTGATTAATTAAATAATGTGCATTGCTCATGACTTTTAAAATGCTTGTTATTTTGTAATCAATAACTATAACCCTCTGTAAATATGTAACTATTGATTCTTTAAAAATATGTTTACTATTTATATAACCTAATACAGTTCTGAAGGCAATATTTTCATTCATTTACAATGTAAGTACAAGGTATAGTTCGACAATTTTCTAAAACTTACTGTGGTCTCTACAATGTCCATGATTCCAATGACTTTTTAAAATTACATTTTTTTTTACAAAATGTCTGTTTTTGAATAACAGATTTTATACATGTAAAACCTTAGGGCCTTAGAGTATATGAAGGAGGAATTAATAATTTCTAAGGGATAAGTGCCCACTGCAGAGCAGTAATAGCTATCTTGATAAAATATTAGTATTATATAATTATTCACATAGCAGTAATATGTTGAAACAGCAGCATTTTTAATAATTTAAATGCTCATAGCCCTATATGTCAATCAAGACCAGATTTTTAGAATTGTAAAGCATTATTTGCTGCTGCTGTTATTAGTAACCTTTGTGGTAAGTGCAAATGTAGATGACCATATAGACATCCATATATTATCCTGGGTGTGCTATTGCTATAAGTGCATACTCTTACTAGATGTTTAGCTCCTGGTTACTGTGCAGTACATGTGGTAGTGTGCAGAGAATTTTTGGTCTTTTGTTTTCAGAGCTCAAAATCTAACACACATAGATGTTGAACAGTTGCTATTTGGTCATGGCTTTTCTTGTTTTCCACACTTCTTATTTCAGCACAAAGTTTCTGCGGAGTGGCTACCTGAACTGGAAAAATAGCTTTGTATTCCATAGTTACACTATAGTTGAGTATTATATCGAATCCTGCCAAACATAACATCTTAAATGCAATAGAATTTCAGGGAAAAAAAAGAAATGTTGTGTCTAAAGGTAATTACTCCATATGCTGTTCCTGCACAGACCTTTACTGAAAGCAGGTAACCCTAATAACTTCTAAATGGTTAACTGCTGCATAATAAGTAATGTGCTTTGCCCGTGGGAAAGAAGAAAGTGCTTGCCTCTGTCTCCGCTTCATCTGCATTATAGATCTTAATATTCCATTTAGATGATGTGATAGTCTATTGAGAATTCCCCTCTTGCCTTACAGCAGTGAAGGTGTTAACTGTAAAAGCAAAAAGGTTGTCGTAAAAGTCAGAGATGGAATAAAACAATTTTGGGCCTGAACCACCAATAACTTCAGGCTTCTTGTGCATGCTGGCTGAGATTGAATCACACAACTGCAGGCACTGCCCTTGTGCCCAATCTTCCACTGTCTCTCTTCAGGATATATTGTGATATGACTTGAGGTTTTGAGATGCACAACAATCCTTTCCTTATAAAAAGAGACCACTAGTTTTAACTTAGAGTGTGACAGATGATTATTTTCTTTGCAAAATGACTCCTGCTATTACCTTTTTGTCTCTCTTAGTAACAAATTAATCAGACTTAACCCCAACATCACAAAACAAGAAACACAATCAGTCTTGGAAATTATCCTTTAGTCTGTCCATAACAGTCTGAAAATTTCTTAACAGAGTAACATAAACATGAAAATGCATATGGAGGTGCTTCTACCATATCATGGCTGAGTATTGATGCCAGATGGCATTACTATGTGTCTTTATGCTTAGAGAGACACTCTGAAGAATTAAAACTGCCCAGCTTGTCTGATTTGACTGTTGAACTAGGAAATATTCTCTATGCATGTGTATAATAGCACTTGAATAGGAATGACTGCTGTAGTGAAAGTTTTGAAAATCAGTTTCTTGAAAACCTAGTTTTTTCCACGTGCTCCTAACTTTCTGGAAGAAAAAGGTCACCTATCAGCTAGGATGGTTTTGCAGGCATGCACATTTGTGTATCAGCACGTTACACAAGCACACAAATGGCTGGGAGCACCTATAATTTAGATATATTTCTGAATAAGTAAATGGCTCCTTAAAGTGAGCTTAGGCATTTTCTGAAGCCCAGTTCAGAAAATCCAGCTTTGTAGACCAAAGGCCTGATCCTGCAAACCTACTTCACATAAACTCTTTTGCACAAATAGGTCAAGAAGTAGCAAGAGAGAAATTGTAACTGAGGATTTATAAAGTTTATAAAATGTGCTGTACTATCCAAGAAGTAGTGTATGCTTTTTTAAAAAGCCTTCTTTGGTCCTTAGGAGTATTGCATGTATTATATTCTGGAATGTGGAAACTTTCACTATACCTGTTGTTCTTATAGAGCACTCACTGTAGACTAGTCCTAGTATGTGAAATCTACCCACAAAGTAAATATGCTGTAACAACATATCTGGGACACTAATTTTTTGGAAATATAACTGATTATTTATTATATATTATTAACTATGCAAATTGTAGATGGTTTGCTGGGTAATACGATTATTTTAGGCAGAACTGTAGTGATGATGTGCAATACATATTATCATCGCTATGGTCTCCACAAGCCCTTAAAAAGACTATCTTTGTGACAATGAATATTTTATAAGAAGTTTTATTCAGCTGAAAAAATTCCAAATCCTTTGAGGGTTATAAGGGTTCTTTTTTGAGTTGAAAAATCCAGCTGTGAAGGTTGAAAGCATTTCTATTTTGGCCAGTCCTATATATTAGTAAATCTTATATATTAGTAAGTCCTATATATTAGTAAATCCTTTGATCATCTGAAGAAGTGGGCTGTGCCCACGAAAGTTTATGATACCATCTACATGTTTTGTTAGTCTTTAAAGTGCTACCAGACTATTTGTTGTTTTTTTGTTTTTCATGTTATAGACTAACTCGGCTACCTCTTTGAAACTATATATTAGTGTTAATGGAGCGACCCTGCTGTAAGTTTGCTATAACCCTAGGAAGTTGCTTCCCTACTAGAAGAAAAGCACTCACTATTAAGTTTTTGCTAATTTTGTGTAAACAGCATTATTGATGTGATTTAATATTTGTGAGCCATGTAGGAAAACAGACAGGTAAGAGAATTTCCAGGAGGTATTAAATCTGTATGTATTTTTCCCCTAGTCCATCGGAAATGCCAAAACCACAAGGAATGACAACAGTAGTCGTTTTGGAAAGTACATTGAAATTGGTTTCGATAAGAGGTACCGAATCCTTGGTGCTAACATGAGAACTTATCTCTTAGAAAAATCAAGAGTGGTATTTCAGGTAACACTGATACAATGTCTTATTGTGTTTACGTGATTATATAAAAAATCCTCTTGCCAGCCAGTGTGAGCCATCTCTCAATTCTAAGAGGTCCCAAGTGTCTGGCAGCAGTAATATAACATCAAAGGAGGAGAGAGACAGCTTTTAAGTACATCAATCCATTATGCTTATAAATCTCTCTATATAGCAATATGAATATACTATAAAGGCAGCGTACGTGTATGACAGTATTTTACAGTAATGTTTCAAAGCTCAACAGAACTGTGTATTCATGGAGAAAAACTATTGATGTTCATAAAGTTGCCACCTTATTCTCATTTAAATCCCTCCTTTAAAACTGACATCTGCCATGATACCTACAAATCACTCCCATCTGGCATTGATTATGAAATCTGTGATTTCTGTTTTTCTGCTCAGCTTGTTTGCTCTATTACCTCATCCTCCCAATCCATCCCCATCCTCTTTGCTTGCTTTAGTCCATTTCTTGTGTCCTGTCTAGTAGACTGGGAGACCTTGGGAACAAAACTGTTCTTTGTTCTTCTTCGAGTGCTTGCTCATGTCCATTCTAATTAGGTGTACGCACGCCGCGTGCACGGATTCCGGAGCTTTTTTCCCTTAGCAGTATCCATAGGGCCAGCAGGAGCCCCGTGGAGTGGCGCCGGTATACCGGTGCATATATACCCCTGCTGGCCCCTCCACCCCCTCAGTTCCTTCTTACGGCCCTGTGTCGGTAGCTGGAGCATGCTTCAGGCTGATAGCCTATCTCTTAGCAGCTTATTTCTTATCTGTTGTATTATAGTTCTAGTTGAAGTTTTTATCTAGTTAAGTAGTTGTTAAGTGTTGTAAATATTTAGTTAGATAGGGGAGCAGCGGAACCCTCCCATGAGGGGAGGGCATGCCAGGGCCCCAGGGCTTTAAACCCTGTGCTTCTTGCTCCAAACCTATGCCCTGTGGAGATCCCCACTCCAACTGCCTAAAGTGTCTGGGTGAGGCCCATCGAGCTGAAAGCTGCTCTATCTGTAAGAGCTTTAAGCCCCGGACCAAGAAGGAGAGGGACTCCCGGCTGAAACTCCTACTAATGGAGTCGGCACTGCAGCCTCAGAGCGAGGAGCAATCTCCCTCTGCCCGCAGCGCACCGTCGGCAGCACCCCCCTGTCGGACAACAAGGCACCGAGGCACAGATAGCAGTCCCCAGTGCCGAGGACCCCCAAGAGCTCGAGGGGACGCTCGGCAGAGAGGAGTGCCCAGAAGGTGCTCCCTAAGGAGGGGCACCTTTCTGCTAAGGCCTCCAAAAAGAGGCGCAGCCCGGACGAGGGCAAGAGCCCGGGGCAGCCCGTGGGGCTAGGAGAGGTCCATTGGCCCTCCACCCCAGAAGCTTTTGAGGCGGCCCGGGACCTCATCCACATGGCTGTAGATGAAGGAGAGGGCCCGGTGCCGCAGGAGCGGACCGCGCCGGCACCGGCCTTAAGTGCCTCCCAGCAGGCTATGGCCGGGTCGTGGGACCCTCTGGGCGAAGGGCAGGCCTCGGCCCAGCAGCAGTTTTTCCCGGTGCCGGGAAGAACGCCGGCACCGGAGCCGGGATGAACGCCGGCACCGACCCCGGGCTCCTTCCCGATGGTACCGGCAGCGGCACCAGGAGCGAGTGCGCTTGCGGCGCCGACAGCACCGGTGCAGGGCCCAGTGCCACAGACGGCCCCCTGGGCGGTGCAGGGCCCCACACCGTACTATGCGCCACCTGCGGTGCCACAGCAGGCGCCCCGCACGGCACCGATGCTGATGCCTCTCCCAGCACCGATCCCTGCTTACACCTTGGGAGCGCAGCAACAGGGCGCGGCGCCGCTGCACACGACGGCACCGGAGGGTTATGTACCAGCCTATCAGGTGCAGCTGGGCACTGTACCGCCGCAGCAAAGGCCTCCACTCATGCCCCCACCGGCACCGCGTGCGGTGCACAGGGGCAAGCCATCGGCCATGGCAGCCATACAGGTCACGGCCCTGTCATAGGTCTCGCTCATCGGTCAGATCCTCTCACCGGGAGCCGGTGGACCAGCAGCAGCGGCAGGGGCAACCTCAGTGGGCATTCTGGACGCCCTGGGCATACCACCAGGCCCAGGGGCCTCCCCCTACGGGGCCGGCGGCAGGGTTGTCCTGAAGGAGCAGCACCCCATCTGCCACCCCTTTGCCAGCCCCCCCACCTGGAGACAGCTTGTCTATAGCGGCAATGCCAAGACCCCTGGCTATTGGTCAGGAGCAGGGGGCTATGCCCCAGCCGGGCTCAACCTATATGGACATCTCTGCCCAGGGGGAACCAGGGGCACAGCTCAGCGAGGAGGAGGCGGTCCCCTCGAGGGAGTTCTCGTCATCTTCACCAGATGAGGCCCTGGCCGACCCCACGCCTCAGCCCCCGTCGATGGACTCCAGGGCACACCAAGAGCTGCTCCGAGGCTGGCGGTCAACCTTGCGGTCCAGCACGAGGAGGTTCACGAGGACCAAGATCCTATGGTGGACATAATAGCAGCAGCAGGCCCTGGTCGAGTAAATAAAACGGTGGACAAACAGTCCAAAACTCTGTGGCTGACGCCGGCTTCTATTGCACTGACCCAAAAGGGGGTCGAGAGAAGGTACTACGTACCCCAAGCAGGGCACGAGCATCTTTTTAACCACCCGGCTCCGGGATCCATAGTGGTTCAGGCCGCAGGGCAGAAGGAGCGCCAAGGGCCTCCAGGTCCTACGATTGGACCTACTTGGCCGGAAGGCCTACGCCACGGGGGGCCTCCAGCTACGTATAGCTAACCAGCAACTAATGCTGGGGCGTTATGCCTTTAACACATGGGCTTCTATGCAGAAATTTGCCAGCCAGCTTCCTCCTGAATCCCGCCAGGAATTCGGGGCCCTGACAGAAGAGGGATGAGCAGTGACGCGTACCTCTCTCCAGGCGGCCCTGGACGCAGCCGATTCAGCGGCCCTGGACGCGGCCGATTTGGCGGCCCGCACTATGGCCACAGGGGTTGTTATGAGGCGTAGTGCGTGGCTGCAGGTGTCTGGCATCCCACCCGAGGTGCAGACCACTATTCAGGACCTACCTTTCGAAGGCTCGGGCCTGTTTTCAGAGCAGACTGATTCCAAGCTTCATAGCTTGAAGGACTCAAGAGCGACCCTGAAGTCGCTAGGGGGGTTTTTATGAGGCGTAGTGCGTGGCTGCAGGTGTCTGGCATCCCACCCAAGGTGCAGACTACCATTCAGGACCTGCCCTTTGAGGGGCCGGCCTTGTTCTCAGAGCAGACTGATTCCAAGCTTCATAGCTTGAAGGACTCAAGAGCGACCCTGAAGTCGCTAGGGATACATACCCCAGAGCCTCAGAGGCACTCCTTCCAGACTAGACCCTACCCTAGAAGGGGGCAAAACAATGATAGGGATCGCAGGAGGAGCCGTAACAATAGCCGCCCTGACCTCTTCAGAGGCAGGCATAGGGGCCCTCGGTCGGACTCCGAGAGAGACTCAGGCCCGTCACCCGGTCACCAAACTAAGCCATCATTTTGAAGGTACGCCAGAGAACAGAGTACCAGTAGCACCTACCTGTCCACCCTTTGGGGACCGTCTTTCCCTCTTTTACCAGGAATGGTTAAAGATCACATCGGACCGTTGGGTCCTAGACCTGGTGAAGCAGGGATATACTATCCCCTTCCTTTCCTACCCTGCCTCCCACCCTCCATCTCCTTCCCTTTTCGGGGACCCTTCTCACGAGACACTCCTTCGGCAGGAGGTGTCCAACCTGTTGACGCTAGGGGCCATAGAAAGAGTGCCCCCAGATGTAAGGGGAAAGGGTTTCTACTCCCGCTACTTCCTAGTACCCAAGGCGAAAGTGGGCATGCGTCCCCTACTAGACCTCCGAAACCTGAACACCTTTATAAGGAAGGCAAAGTTCAGGATGGTGACACTAGCCTGCATCATCCCATCGCTCAGAAAGGGGGACTGGTACGCTGCTCTCGATTTGAAGGATGCGTACTTCCACATTTCAATTTTTCCAAGTCACAGAAAATTCCTACGGTACACGGTGGGACAGGACCACTTTCAGTTCATGGTCCTTCCGTTTGGACTGTGTACAGTCCCGAGAGTCTTTACCAAATGTATGACGGTGGTAGCCGCATTTCTGCGGCGACACAGAGTCCAAGTGTTTCCATATCTGGACGATTGGCTCATAAGGGGCAAGTCTCGAGAACAGGTGTTGGATCATGTCTCAAGGGCCAGGGTTTTGTTCGAGAGCTTCGGCCTCCTCATAAACGAGGCCAAATCATTGCTAGATCCCACGCAAGTCATAGACTTTGTGGGGGCCCATCTGGACTCACCTTTGGGCAAGGCGTCCCTACCGAGAAACAGATTCATGGCTATTCACTCACTGGTAGTGGGGCTGCAGGTGTTCCCAACTGCGACGGCGAGGACCTGTATGAGGCTTCTAGGCCACATGGCGGCGTGCACTTACGTGGTCCAACACGCCAGGCTGCGCATGCACCCATTGCAGGGGTGGCTCAGGGTAGCGCACAACCCCTTCAGGTCGCCGCTAGATGCGGTAGTCGCTAAACCC